GGTTAGGGTTTATAAGGGTTTAGGGGGCGGAGTACCTTGCCTAAGGCTCACCTACATGGTCCGAGTACCCAAATAGTGGGGCTTAGATCCCAAATGCTCGAATCTGAATGGTTTTTCGCTACCTGAAGCCGAAATATTTAGGCATTCAGACCCTATGGGCTATATACTTCATATTTATCCACACTCCAGCCACTAAAGGCCTTATATCCTTGTCTCCCCCTCCCCTGAAGAGGCCTTGGATCCTACATCCTGAGCCCTACACCCTAGACTTCCTGAAGGCTAGTAGGGCAAAAGGGAGTATATCATATGGGGACTATATAGGCGCTATCTTCCCTTATTCCCTACCAAACCCCCATTGTATAGGATTATCTAGTGATTACGTAGGGATTACATGAATTCATATTCCTTTACTCGCTACTAAGTTTAACCCTAAACTCTAAGCCCCACACCCTAAACCCGAAACCCTAAACCCCACGCTCTAAACCCTAAACTCTGAACCCTAAACCCCAAACCCTAAACCCCAAACCCTAAACCCTAAACCCTAAACCCCAAACCCAAGTAAACCGCGTGGAAGTGTTGCAGGTCCAGGTTCAGGTCTACCCAGAAGACGCTGGGGCTGGTAACGTTGTCGAAGTAGTACCTGTCATACAAGGTCGGAATTCTTTTTTCTAGGGCTTTGGCCTAGGGGTTTAGGGGTTTAGGGTCTAGAGGTTTTGGGTGGTTGGGTTTAGGGGCTTAGGTGTAGGCTTTGGGTTTGGAGGGTGTGTGCTTAGGATTGATTTTTTTTAATGGCTACTATCTAGAAAACCCTACAAATCGAAGTGAGAGCAAATAGGTACAACCCAAGAAAAGAGGTAGGGGCCATATTACCAAGTTCATAGCTAGGAGCTTAGATGTTTTGGCCGTGGGGGTTGGATACCTGGCGGGTTCTAGAAACAGGAGGCAGCGATATACACGCCAAGTAATACCATTCCTCATCCTAAAAGCTCCCCAATTTTTTCAATCCTCATGTAGAGATAACCCTATAACCCTAAACCCTAGTTCTGCGGCCAGACGTGCTTCGGAGGTCTTCTGCCCCGCACCTCGCGTGCCCCCAGCAAACCAAAGCCCTAAACCCTGAAGCCTGTGCCGCTTCTTGTACAGTTTGGTAGTAATTTCCCCTTAATTGCTAGGTATAACCCATTGAACTATAAGTGATTGGGGTTGTGCGTTCTGCAGCAATTCCTCAACCTTCGCCCAACCATGAATTTCTTAACCCTAGACCCCAACCTTCATAGCTTTGGAGCAGAGGCTGATACACGCTGACCCAAGAACCCAACATCCTGAATCCATCGCCATTTAGTACTTTCCCTTATCGGGGAACCTCTAAAAAGATCCCAAAATACACATAGCTCTTATTCCTGGGATCCCCGAAATGGTATCCCTAATCTTTTCGGAACCCTCCCCCCCAAGTTAATGAGCTGTGTTGCCTGCCCTGGCTGTGGTCGGTGATCGTTCGCCATCTTGGCTGCAGAGGTCTGTAGTGTAGGGAGAGTTAAGGTTCATATACATATTTGGGTGGTTGTCAAAATTATGACCCTTTTTGGGTACCCTAAATATTAGGTGCCGTATTATAATTGGGATCCAAAATGGGACCATAATTTTGACAACCACCCATATATAAAATACTTGTCAGACAGACTCTCAAGCTTCAACGCCCAAATCTCTTAGCCCTACCACGAGAGGTTTCAAACAAGAGCCCCTGAGGTCAGACAACACCATCCAAAAGAGGGCCTCACACGCAAGAAGCCCAAAACAGGTGAGTAGCGTTTTTTTGGTGGTTGAACCTAGTAAGATAATACTCCTTATACAAAATACTATACCCCAAAGGAGGATATAATCTTACTCTGTATTGGATACCATAGTAACCCCAAATAAGATACTACTGACCGCCGTCCTACCCATTATACCCTAAATGGACAAATGGTAGTTTCCCTAAATAGGGGGACCCCAATATAGACCCCAATATACTATAATCCTTATTCTGGGGACCCCTACAAAGGTATCCCTAATTTTGGGAAACCCCCAAATAGCGATCTTTCATCACCCTGGCTGCTGCGAGCTTGTCGAATTATCAAAGAACCATGGGCTACCCTGCCTTACATGCAGGGAAGAGTTACCTAAGATTGTTGTCTACTGGCTTTGAGGGGGAACATGAAACCCCTAACCCAACCCCAACCCCTAAGCCTGAACCCTCGTTAAAGCCTAACCCCCAACCCCCAAAATCCGAAACAAAGTCTCCCAGCCACCTCGTGGATGAAAGGTTTGGTTGATGTGGGTCCATCACGCCCAGGGGTACAGAGACCTCCGATGTTAGGGCTTGGAGTTGAGGGTTTGGGGGTCAGGATTTGAAATTTGTAGCAGTAAGGTTCCTGGAAGACTGGCCTTTGGTTAGATAGGGATGAAGGAATGGATCCTTATGGTAGTCAGGTAATCCTCATATACCCATTGTTGTAGTTTCCATGTTCTTTTCCATTATTTCATTCACAACTAACCAAATGCCAGAAGAGGGACAAGAAGGATAAGCACTCAAGCCCAGAACAAAATGAGTCCCAGAATTTGCCCAGAAGAAGGGTTTAGGGTTTAGGGTTAGGGGCTAGCTACCATGTCCTCTCTCTCCCCAGCCAACATGGAAGCCCACATGGGCCTCGAAAGACGTGACAACAGTCTCTGTAGGCTTGCTTTGCAAGTCTAACTTTTTGGCAGGATGATACTTTAATGAGCGTCCTAACTCGATCGATTTGCGGAGAGGTCATGTTGACTAATTACAAAGGAGGTTCTCAGAACAAGGGTTTAGGATTTGGGGTATAGGGGGCAGTAGAGATGTAGAGCGATTCTACAAGGCGCGCAGGGGTCCGCCCCAAAGAGAAACTCCGGCACGTGATGGGATTTTGGAAACGTAGAGGATTTAGGCGATACCGTTGATGGTGGAAATCTAGATGAGGGCTTTAGGCTTTTGAGCTATCAGCCCGAAAAAACCCTAAACGCTGATAGGGTTTATGGAGGAAATCTTGCATCACCTAGGCCCCATACACTGCTGCAAGTCTGCGGACCTGAGGGACTTTAAGGTGCTGCAAGATTGCCTCTATCAACAGACCCTAATTAAACCCTAAACACTGTAGGGTGTGTAGAGTTTGGGAGCTTGGGGTTCAGCCGCTTGGCAGTTTTGGACACCCTGAAGCTACTAAACGCATCATCCAACCCTACCTATGCCAGGATTACTTTGTTTCTATGGATCCAGAACCAGGATATATTAATTTCAAGAACGGGCCCCCTGAAATTAGGGTTCAGGGCTGAAGTTCATGACCTTGCCTGGCAAGTCGACAGTTTTGCTCTGCTAGGAAGAGATGTTTGGTAGTTTAACACTGAAACCTCTCCAAGCCCTAATTAAATCTCTTCCTAGACCCACAACCCAAAAGACCCTAAACCCTAGATCTCTTCCTAAACCCTCAACCCATGAACCCGAAAGCAAAGCCTGGCGAACCAGAGAGAAGACCGTAGCCACGGCCAGACGGGATGTGTCTACCTTTGGGGGCTACGGTTGAGGCTTGGGCGCTGCTAACTGGTAGTTCGCAGGGAATAAGGGAATATAACCTCTATATGATCCCTCTAGCATATGTTCCCTTCGTCCCTTCTAACTCCCAGGTAAGATTATCCTTTGAAAAGAGCCCTTTATAATATGTTCCCTTATTCCCTACTAATGCCCAGTAAGACTGCCCTTTTAGAAGGAGCCCATATCAGCTTTCATGTTCGTCCTTGGGAGGCTCAGTAGATGGAATACCCCAAAGGGTCTACAGAGGAATCTCGCCAAAGGATGAGCCAGCCACTTCGGGGGCTCCTAGAACTAGGGGTGCGTTTATGGGGGGGATCCCGAAAATATGGACCATAGTACTTTGAGGTCTTAATTGGGGTCACCCTATTTGGGGAAACTGCGACTTACTTGTGGGCGTTGCGCGAGTGTCTGCAAAGCCAGTAGAAATAAAAGATGTATTCAGGATTCGCCGGATTCAAAAGTCTGGTAGTGTAGAACAATGTCATTGTATGACAGTTGTACCCTGAACCATAAACCATAGCGGGGTTAGGGTTTAGGGTTTGATCTGCTGGGGTTCTTCTTAGGGCTGGTGAATGTCTTCCCCAACCACACAGGGAACGGGGTGTCAGGGTTGAGGGTTTAGGTTTAGGGTTTAGGGTTCCAGCAGCATCGGGGCCGCCTAAAGGTGGACACAATGCGAACAGCATTTGGGCCCCTCTCTTTCCCATCTGGGGCAGAGTAATTGCAATAGAATCCCCATACCAATCTCTGTTACTGGTCCTGTGTCTCATCCCCCCCTTCGCCAACTAAGCATGAGTTAGCAGCATCCCGTCGACCCACACTCGTAAACCATGCGGTCACTTCTCTTTACGGCTAGCTACACCTACGACGGACAAAAGATGAGCAGCTTATTCCCCTCTGTGGATCATCTCAAACCCTAGCCTTCGTCCTGCGCTTTAAGCTCTAAACCCTGACTTCAGGAATGAGGTGCCTTGGGCACAGCGTCAAGGTTGTAGCTTAGACGCGCAAAGCGGTCTGCAGCACGATGCGTTCCCGGAAGGAACGTATGGCCGCCAACCCCTTGCCAGTACCTATGCTTGCGCATGCTTAGTCTGGGAGAAGGGTTCTTGTGGTACAGCGCTCCCTTTTCGGAATAACCGTCAGTAGCTAGGCTTCCACTGCTGTCGAACCAACCTATTTGCAAGCTTGGCAACCTTAATCGGGCTGTTTTCGGAATTCTATATACTGATACATGAGGCACAAGATCAGCTCTGGCAACTTTGAAAATGCTATTAGGGCTTAGGGTTTAGGATGGGTTCCAAAGTAGGTAGACTGAAGTTGCGCCTCTCTGAGGGCTGCCCTTAATCAAGATTTGAGGCTTGAGGTTTAGGGTGTAGGGTTTAGGCTTTAGGGCTTCGGATTTAGGGTTTAGGAATTTGAGGCTCAGGTTTTAGGGCTTCTGCTTTAGGGTTTAGGGGGTTAAGGCTTAGGCTTTAGGGCCTCAACAACCAAAACAAGAAGACAATGCTTCCAAGAGCGTCCAAGTACGCCATCAGCGCCAGTTGCTGATCATATGGTGGTGAGTTGGTCATCACTTTGTACCTGGAAGCCCAAGGCTCCCAGATGAATAGGGTTTAGGGTTTGGGATTTAGGGTTTAGGGGTTTAGGGTTTGGGGTTTAGGGTTTTGGGGTTTAGGGCTTGGAGTTCAGGGTTTAGGGTTTAGAGTTTAGAGTTTAGGGCCTTCGGTATGTCCCAAACGCAAAAAAAAACTTGTAACTTGGCAAGACAGCAAAAGATCTTCCACTTTGAGTCCCAGAATCTGAGAGCTGTGATGGATGATCAAGCGCCCAGAGATGTACTCCAAAACTGCCGACCCATTGATGGCGTCGGAGATAGACATGTGTCCGCTCGCAGACTCTCCTGGATCAGTGCTGGCGAAATTGCTCTTTCTGGAGAGCTAGCAAGGTTTGATAGGGGCGACAAGCAAAAACAACATGAGGTCTCCAGAAACTGAGAGCATTGGGTAAAAGATAATGTAGACCCCTGATTTATAAACCCCTTCCCCTTGATAAGGATTATAACAGGAATCTCAATATCAAGGCCCTTAAAAGGAGGGGGGCTTATTAATTGTGGGTAAAAGATAGGCAGGACCTGATTGTTTGGAGCTCCTTCTACGAAGGAGGGAGTACCTTGAGCTACAAATGCCCTATACCCTAAACCCTAAAAACTCTAAAACCTTCAAAACACTAAACACCCTAAAAACACGAATTGCTCTAAAGCCTAAACCCCAAAGTGGTGATTGGCCCCCTGGAAGATCTAGTGAGCTGGTTTCAGGTTCAGTTGCCTTCCAACACCCAGGGTGAGGCGTTGTAGACCCCAAAACCCTTCAAAACCCAAATCTCTGACCCAAAATCCCAGATGCCAAATTCTACGACCTTAAGCCCAGTCTCCACTGGGCAGGGTCGGAGAGATGATGTTCAGCGAATCTCCCTTCAAAGCGTCCACGGCCTGCCAAACTATGAATATCCTCCCAAATAAGGGGCTTCGGGGGTTTGTGTTGCCCTTGTTGGGGACCTATGCTTTTCGCTTCGACCTTTCAGTTAAGACATCCTTTTGAAAGTTGTTTTCCATTGCTTCGGCCTGGTTTAAATTTTTTGCACCTTACCACAGAAGTCTCCTCGCATGGCCCAACCCCCCAGGCCCCTGTGAAGCCAGCCTCCTGCACTGTGGCAAAGTTGTCCAGGACGTACTGAAGCCAGGCACCAACGGAGAGCTTCTTCTGGTCTCCTCAACTACCAACGTGGTTGTCTGAAGAGTAATAACAGTAGTAATGACACTAATAATAGGAATAACATGAATAGCAACTTTGACAACAGTACCAGCAAAAAGAATTGGATGCTTTAGGTGTTGTAAGAGCAGGATCCCTGTATCGGAGCTGCTGCTTGCGGAGGCCTACGTACTTTAAGAGCATGTCGAAACAATCTTTCACCACTGCATTGGCAGTCTTGCAATCCATGTCCAACTACAATAACTGCATGCGCATGCATGGGAGTGTCCAAACTCTGGAGACCAGGAAACTTCAGGGCCCTGTCTGTAGCAGCCAATGAAAGTGGAGCCCTTGGCTGTTGGGACGCTCCCTTTCTTCAACGAATTAGACCGCACAATGTCACAAAGTTGACTAGTACACCATGACGCATATTTTAGACCTTGCAAACAATAAGACCACAAGACATGCCTATAAATCATCCCATGACAATGCAGGCTACAGCAACATGGCTACCTAGTTTCAGATCACTGCGGGGGGTCTATGGGGCTAATCCATGTCTGATGTCCACGCGATGCAGAGCCGTAGTCAGACTCCACAAAGTAGAGGAGGTTTGCGACCAGGCCTGTCAAGTATCCTACCCTAAGGGTCCAAGGACCCAAATAATAGGGTTTTAGAACTCAAATACCATGAATATTATAGTATTTGGGCCCTAGAACCCTATTATTTGGGTCCTTGGACCCTTAGGGCTAGCCTTGGAAACCACATTGCTCAAACAACGGTAGGGAGGGTTCCTCCACATGGGTACTACTCCAAACGACAAGCTGCAAGCATCAAGCACAAAGCCCATTAATCCTCAAACCCGCCTACCTTTCACTGAGGTTATCATAAGGCGTTTCGGGCTTAGGGTTATAGAGCGATATGGTTCGGATATGGGGCCCATAACAGAGAATTGAATGGAAAAGACAGAAAATGAAATGAACGCTGGGATGATGTTAGGATTTTGGGCTTTAGGTAACTTGTGTAACCTTTTTTGTGCGAGGTGTACTGTCGGGCTGCACTAGGGTAGCAGTAGTAGCATTATATTAAAACCTAGACTCTAAACCCTAAACCCCAAACCCTAAACCCTAAACCCTAAACCCCAAACCCTAAACCCTAAACCCTAAACCCCAAACCCTAAACCCTAAACCCTAAACCCTAAACCTTATAGTGTGTCAAGTAGGCTTAAGCTCCCTCAGGCCCTTGAGACGTCAGCCAAGAAGGCTACGATCTTTTACCCTAAGGATCCAAGTACCTAATAATCATAGGCTTCCCCAAAACCTGTACTATAATTACTATATGTAGTACCCAAAACCCACGTACCCAAGTATTGGGTACTTGGACCCTTAGGGAAAGAAATGCCCAACTCAAAAACCGCCAACGCCCTTGCGCCGCTGTCTTTGATACTGTTCAAAACCCTTCCACTTTGCTAGAGCCTTACGAAACCCCAAACCACAAATCCAAAGCCCCAAATCCTAAACCCCAAACACTCAATCCCAAACCCTATACCCCAAAACAACCCTTGCACTAAAGCGCTACATTCCTGACCTTTCTCGTTCATGCCATCCACCGAAGCGATATCGTAAAAAGACGTGGCTACCGAGCCCCACTTTGAGGTCCACTCCAATGAGCCTGAGATTCAATGTGGTAGTTTCCCTAAATAAGGGGATCCTAATATAGACCCCAGGACCCCAAAAAGGTACCCCTAATTTTGGGCAATTCCCATGTAGGGAACTACATAAACAGGACAGGGTTCAGGGTTCAGGGTTCAGGGACTGGGGCTCAACGCATGTAGAACGATGGCCTTCTTGACCATGTTTATGGGTTCTGGGCCATGATTATCCGACTTATTTAAGGTCCTCGTAGGGCTCAGGCTTCCACGGAACTTTGCAGCAGTACAAGGAGGAGTTCAGTTGAGGAGGCCATGAATCTGGAAGCTAGAATATGTGATTTCCTGACACTGACCCTAAACCCTAAACCCTAAACCCTAAACCCTAAACCCGCCTTAGTCTATGCGAGGTCTGGCTTCGAAGCTGTACGCCACGAACCCTGTTACTTTTTAACCTGCACCCTAAGACCCTGTAAGGTAGGGACCTGGGGAAGTTGAATGAGGCTTTGTTATGCAATATATGGGTTCTGAGGGGATAAGATTGGTAATGTTTCAGGCTTCGACATAGATGAGCTGAACCTTGTAGAAGGGGCCCATGGCAGTTGAAGATCTTGATTCAACCCTATTCCATCTTAAACCCTCAAAACCCCGAGTCTCTAAACAAAGGTTTTATGTTTGGGGAAGGGGTGAACCAAGTAAGAGTGTTTCTTCGTCTTATCACAAAATGCGACGACCCAAAGTTCAAAGGCGGACATAATCTTGCTTGACCCTGGCGGCTACAGAATCCCTAGCTACTGTACCCGGCAAGGGCTCAACGCCAAGCCCTGAACTCAAACATGGGGACAACCAAATTACTCCTCTTCAAGGAGCCCTGCAAACAGTAGTACCCTAAACTAAACCCTAGACCCTAACCCGTTTACAGTACCCTAGACCCTGGACAGTGTGGAGATCTGCTCAAAGCAGCCAGGGCCTACTCCTCCATCTCGTTTCATTCCTGACTGTTGCTTTACGTAAGTGGGTTGCTGTTCGGGAAGTTAAGCTGAGCTACCATGACCAGGGAACACCATTACATGAACTGCATATCCATAGCTCCATACATATATATATATATATCCGTAGTATGGTAAGTTCGTTTACGTTCCTGAACAACAGCCCAGTTAATGCCTTTCCCGTGATAGGGAACCCGCTCATACTCCCAGCAGTACATATTCATTCAAGATCTTGACCCCTAAACCTTAATGGGAGCATTTTGTTGTATTGCGTGGGTGCGTTCTGGGGTCATGACTACTAGGGGCAGCGTGATAGGTGGACCTGGGCCTAGGGCTTTGGATGTTGGCCTATAATCTTTGCTTGCGGACTTTAGGACGTACCCTGGACGTAGATTTTAGGACTGTGGCTTGGGGCTTTGGGTTCTGGGTTTCAAAGCCTAAGACTCAAGGTTTCGAGAAGACCTTAAACTGTAGTCTCCATAGACCTATAATACGAATATTATGCTTATTGGTTCCCTAAGTTGGGGTTATACCATATTAGAAATTAGAGATAATTCTTAAGGAGACTACAGTAAACCCTTGTTTACTTGATCCGAAATCCTAAACTTTAGGCTTTCTGATTTTGATCGGCCTTGGCTTCGGACTTGGGGCAGGAGCGAAGAAATGAAAGACGTTTAAAATGCGGGTTCCCTTGCTCTCCCCAAGGTTTTGGTGAGAACCCCTGATTTTGATCCCCTTCATCCATGTATTCATCACAAAAACTGAAATAGAATTTCTTCCAGCAAAGTGTTCAAGATTCCCCGTGGGAAGACCCACACTTTTTCCTGCGTCGGCTCCTTCCAGTCCATCGTGCGACCAGTGTAGAATCGTCCGGACGCGTCCTCGTAGTAGGCCCGCGAGCATCCGTGTGCAAGGCCGGCAAGGACAGCAACAACTGCTACTTTACATCCTGCCATGGCGGGCGCTCTGGGAGGCACTGTACAAAAGAGAAGTCTAGAACTAGTTTTCGAAATGTTCTTGGGCCAATCTGGCAGACCTCCTTCTTTGCCGCAAAAATGCAATCAAGCTGCAGGTAGCACCGTAGCTCCTACTTAGGGCCGCGCGGGAGCTGGTGATGCTCCAAACCCTAAGATGCCCAGAATCCTATAACAGACATAAAGACCCCACGGATTTCGGATTTTGAGCTTAGGGGCAAAGAAGCCTCCCAGCCACCGACTGGCAATGGACCCTAACATGGGGGTCTGGGTTTGGGGACCCTTTTATACAGGGATGAGCCATTGTCTAAACTCCTAGCATCCCCCTAAATAACACCTATAGTAGACCCCTGTATAATCCCCTATATAACCCTCTTTAAGGTGTTTAGACTATAGCTCATATCAACCCCGTCGTGAAGGTTAGAGCAAAGTGCGCGCCTAACACTGCAGGGTTCTGAATACACACGTGCAGATGCAAGGAATACCCTCATTTCATTGCCTTGGGTGTAAGGACCTACGGTTTCCCTAAGTTTCCATGTGACATTCATCCTTACCTACCCATGAAGAAAGCTGTAATTCAAGCAAGCCCTGTTTCACAAGCTCTCTGAGGTTCTCGCTTTTGGAGGATCCCCGCCGCCCGTCAGCGCACCCAGTAGTCCTCCAAGAGAAGCTTTGAGGTTTTCAAGGAATTCCCAACTTTTGTTTGGAAGGGTTCGGCGGATCACACTCTCCAGTCCTCCTACAAGCCATACACTGAAGGGGAAGTAGGGAGCAGATTCCTGCTGCTCAGAAAAACTAAGACAACCGTCAACTTGCTTGGATTTCAGGCCTTGATCCAGTTGTGGGCTCGTCTGCTTTCGCAGGTGAAATTCCGAAATATATGCGGTAGAACTATGAGGGCTCAAGACCTAGAGTCGAAACATCCTTGTGAAGAGCATACGGCATCCCAGGATCCCAGGACTTGCAACACAGCGCTACTGTGCTTGCGCAGAACTACTTTTGAAAGGAATCTGGAAGTAGCAGGTCTGCCACCAAGAAAGACGGGAAGGCTGCACTAAGTGACTCTGAAAAGCGCAAGAACAGGCCACACGCCAAACCAAAAGCAATGGTGTTTTGCCTTCATGGCTTCCACATTTCCGCGGGATCCTGTCACCCCGAAACTTAGGTTTGCACATGTAGAACGCAGACCATTTACATATCAAAAACCACAGCGCAAGCTCAACATAAACACGGCATGAACTCAAACTGTAAACACAAACGAAAAACACAAGCCCTAAGCCTTGGGTCATTCCCCCTTACAGTAACTGTTACCACAATGGGTTATAGGAGTTATAAGAACCCCTTTAAGGACAGTTACTGGGAGGGGGAATGACCCAACCTAAGCCCTAACTGGAACTCTCCAGCTTTGCCTCCCTTCTTGCCGCTCTTCTTCTTGCTCATCAAGCCCTGGGAATGTCAAAAAGCTAAGCAATGTTTGGTTGGTGTAGTGTATAGGGTATGGGGTTTAGGGATTCTTGGTTGGTATGGGGTTTCCGTTTGGGTAAGCCTCCCCCCACCCCTTAATAGTGGCAATATATAGGAAAATGTATATGTAAGGACCTACATCCGTTTACAAGTATCCCTTGTGTCACCATCAGTGGGCCCAACCTAAATGTTGGGCTTCAGGGTTGCAATATAGAAGGAAAGGTACATGTAGGGACCCAAATATAATTACAAGTATCCTCTCTGGTCACCATTAGTGGGTGGAGGCCCAACCGACTTGTTGATGGAGGAAATCTTGCACCACCTTAAGTCCCTAAAGCCCTAGGAATTACAGTAGTTTAGGGGCCTTAGGTGGTGCAAGATTTCATCTATGAAACCCTAAACCCTAAACCCTAAACCCGTGTAGGGTTTTAGGATTTTAGGGTCCGGAAGGTTGGTTTGGATTGCGAGGCAAGCCTACCCTAACTTCTAAAAACTCTAGACCCCAAACCCTAAACCCCGAATCTTAAACCTTAGGGTTAAGGGGTTTAGGGTTTAGGGTTTAGGTTGAACCTCAAACTCTAAATCCTAAACTCTTAACTCTAAAGCCCTAAACCCTAAACCCTCACCTTTAGTGATTCTTGGGCGGTATATGTCTGGGGCTGTACGGAACTAAGGGACTGTGTTCTATAGGGATTATATTTATAGAGATTACATTCCCTTGTTCCCGGCTAAGAGCCCGGAAGTTAGAGTTTGGGGCTTTTGCGCTTGGGAGCTCTCAAAAAAGCATCATATTGCAGGCAGGACATGGCCTGTACATGGAAAGACATGGATCCATGTAGGATCATACAATCTTACGTACTCATGTCTACAGTAGTCTAAAGCATGTGGATTGGGGGGCTGTCATGGGCTTGGAGACCTTGAACCCGCTGGCTTCAAGCTTTCAGGCTTAGGGCGTTGGGGTAGCTGGCTTCTTGGCTTCAGAGGCACAGGCTTCCCGACTTGGGTCTTCGGCCACTTGAGCAAGATGTTTGGAAACATCATCCACAGGTGCGTTCCTCTTGTATACAAGATCGTGGGAATGCCTCGGAGACACCAACATGACCATGCCAAACACTGAAAACCCCTAAGCCCAAAGTAAAACTCTTGACCTGAATACTCCCGTAACCCCTGCGTACTCCGTATCAAGTTCCCTAAACCATAACCCTAAATGAGTAGCGTTTTTTTGTAGTTGAACCTGGTAAGATTATATTCCTTATATAAATACTCTACCCCAAGAGGAGGATATCATCTTACTCTGTATTGGGTACCATAGTACCCCCAAATAAAAATGCTACTCAAAACCCTAAACCCTAAACCCTAAACCCTAAACCCTAAACCCACACTCCTGGCTTTGACCCGAAATGTTCGCCCTGTTGGCTTCTTGCCTTTGCCAATGCCATGCCGGAGCCCATAAGGTCACCCATCCTCGATATTAGGGTTTAGGGTTTAGGGTTTAGGGTTTAGGGATTAGGGTTTAGGGATTAGGGATTAGGGTTTAGGGTTTAGGGATTAGGGTTTAGGGTTTTTTTCTTTTCCATTATCCCTGTATAACCCCATATAA